AAAAAAAAAAAAAAAAACTGGAATCAGAATCTATGGGTTTAAATTCCTGGCTCTGAAACTACCTGTGGAAGCTCAGGACAATTGTATACCTCTCTGGGTCTGGGTTTTTGCTTTTACAATTGGGCTATATCAGTTATTCTCAATTCTGGCAGCACAATAGAATTACCAGGAGTTTTAAATTAATTAGTTTGGAATGGGGCCTGGGTTTGGCCTGGGTGATTCTGATATGCAGCCAGGATAGAAAATCATTGGACTAAATGCTCTCTGGAGATCCTTCTAGTTCTTTCTGTGGTTCTGAGTAGCACTGGGGCTTTGCTTTCAAGCCTGGCCATCTCTGCCCAGCTCTCAAGGACTAACCAAGTCCTTTGTGCTTGCTGCCCTTAGGTCCCATGCATGTGTGGAATGCCTCATTCCAAAACCATGATGCTGGATGGAAGCTGCAGTGAGTCTGAGGCCAACAGCCTGGCTGGGTACCCAAGAAACCATATTCTGACAGAAGAAGAAAAGCAAGATAAAATAGTGGTCCACCTGGCCCTGGGCAGTGAGTCTAGCTCCTCCAGGAAAAGGGGGCTTCTCAAGGGCCAGGTGGGGCTCCGCCTCTTCCAGAACACCCATGCCATTGACAAATACTCCAGGTTGATATTCCCTGCCTCCTACATATTTTTCAATTTAATTTATTGGTCAGTGTTTTCCTAAGGGCTCCAAGGCCATGCCTATGTAAGGCATGGACATCCATTGGTGGACACACACATAGAGCAGAAGCTCCCGGACCTCCATGAGCAGCACCCCCCTCTCAGAAGAGCCCGGGGGCCTTCTGGCTGCCCTCACCCTGATCTCGTGGGTTTACTCCTTGTTTGCACTGTGTCTGTGTCACTCTTTACACCTTTCTGAACAGAACTGTCTTCTGCTCTTGCATGAGAATTTGTTCACAAGAAATCCCCTCCTGTTAAGAGAGAGAGAGAGAGAGAGAGAGAGAGAGAGAGAGAGAGAGAGAGAGAGAGATTCTAATGCCTCCAAGATGTTCCAAGACCCTCATAAACCTAGAATTCAGCTGTGAAAGGGTAGGGAAAATGACAGGCAAGCTTACGAGTGTTCTAGGTAGGAGACAGGAAATAGGGAACAAAATATTTGTGAACCCATACAACTGGATTAAGTGCCTAGAAAGGAAAACAAGCAAACAAACTAGCTAACTAACTCAGATCCTAGATAGGAAGTGATTTAGCCCATGTCACTCTGGTAACATATGTGATTTTGTAATACATTCACCCATCCATTCCACCTTTCATTAAATATTAAGGTCCCTCCCTGGGCCAGGAACTGTGGAAATGAACAAAGTCTCTTTCCCCATTGAACTTCTCTAAGCTGTGCTTATTCGACACTCATCATAATGTGCTTCTGCACCACTGCTCCCTCAACCCTATTTACCCTTCCCCACAGACCCATTTTGTTTACTGGTGATTTTACTCCAGGTTTATCTACAAAAGCAATTCTGTCTCCGGTGATATCCTCATGAAGCCAGCTCTATGTTTCTCTCCTGGAATCTCCATGTGGTAGAGCCTATGACTGGGAGAAGGATGGGCACTTGAGAACTAGTGAGAGTACAACTTGGTTTTAGGGAGAAGGGGTGTGGGTCTGTGTGGAAACCAGTTTCAGATACCATCTTACTTCTGTTTCTGGGCTCTTTCCCTTCTTCTCCAGCAGAATAATGTCAATAATGATGATAATTATAATCCCTGTGTCTAAGTCTGGTCCCCTACCCCAGTGATCCCACCTACTCTAACCAGAAGAGCTTCACACTCTGGAGTGATTTCTCCTTTACTTCCACAAGCTAGTGACCTTTCCTCTAATGCAGCTAAGTCCGGAGTTAGGAAAGCAATCTGATTTATTGAATCTGTACTAAGTTGTGGGTCATTTCTCTGAAGCCTGTTTCAGGAGATTGCTAGAAAACTGGAGTGGATCTCTAACTAGTGGAATTTTAGGTGGTATAAAGGATATGACTTTGCTAAGAGGGCTCTTCCTTTAAATTACAGCACTGGGAGTCAGAAGTTGGGGGAGATACAAGGAACACCCACCCCAAGTTTCCTTGCTCACTGAAGGACATCGTTTTGCTTTCTTCCTCATTGCTCCTGACAGCTTCTTGCCAGGGTCTGGGTATTTAGTCAAGAGTAGAAATATGATCAGCAAAAGACAAGGCACACCCTGTCTTAAAACAAATCTGGCCTGTGGAGTCTGCTCCACAGTTCATGACTGTCGGGGGTAGGGATTAGCTTTGAGGACTGCAGTGCACAGGAATACCAGGACTTCTAGGAGTATTAAGTCAGGGGCATGTGGCTACCTGTCCTTTTACTCCCTCACTTGGACTGACTGTGTGGCTGCCCTATTCATTCCCATTTCTCCGTTTCTTCCCCAGGGTCATTCATCTACTGATTCCCTCTGTCACCTTATATACTTCTTGTATAAATCTGGTCCCAGACACTGTCTCACCAGTCCCTTGCTCATGTTGAGACACAGACTCATCATTCTGGACGATCAGGCCACCAGCCTTGATCTTACTATGGCTTTCTGCCCACCGGGCCAGAGGCTGTGTGATGGGGCAGGACTCAAGGAGCTGAACTCTCAGCTGGGATAGCTCCCGGCACTGTAATGACATATTTTATCTTGGGAGACTGCAAGTTCAGTAGGTTTCTAACACCATCTTAGGGTTTAATAATTCTCTAGAAGGACTCACAGAACTCAGAAAAACCAGTGTCATCATAGTCACAATTAATAACAGCAAATGAATATGGACTAAAATCATCAAAGGGAAAGGGAGGGTCTAGGAGAGACAGGTGCAGAACTCTGAATTGTCCTCATCTATTGGAGCTATTTGGATTTCACTTATTTTTCCCATCAATGATGTGTGACAATGTGCATGGAATATGTCAACCAAGGAAACTCACTCAAGCTCATCAAGGTGCACAGTTTTTTTTATTGGAGAAGGACCACATAGATACACTGATCACCCGCATGGCTGACTTTAGCCCCCAGCCTTTCTAGAGGTTGGGCTAACATTCGTGGCCCATGGTCCCATCATAAACTACATTAGTAGCATAAACTACCTATTGTGGCCCAGGCAAAGGCCCTACTATGAAGCAGGACATTTTTATGGATTTAGAGGCTATCTCTTGGGAGCTAGGATCCAAGGAGCAAACATTTTTTTGAAACACAAGGTTAATCTTTTACTACGTGACAATCCTTGCGAATTCCTTACTGTTATTGTCAATTGCTGTGCTACTGCTATATATTCAAGCAATAAACATTTTACAGCAGCCCTGCACTGGGTATGATGGGGTCCAAATTAAGAAAAGTAGTCACAGCTCTCAAAGAGGAGATAAGCAAAGGAAATGGCAGATAAATACCTGTAAATTTTAAAAAAGTGTTGTCCTAGTCCATTTTCTGGTGTTATAACAAAATGCCAAATACTGGGTAATTTCTGAAGTTTATTTGGCTCACAGTTCTGCAGCCTGGGAAGTCCAAGAACATGTCAGCATCTGGTAAGAGCCTTCTTGCTCTTCATGGCACAGAGACTCACCTGGCAAGATAGAGCAGGTGTGCTGGTTTGGATCTCTCTTTCTCTTCTTATAAAGTCATAATGCTATCATTAAAACCTATGCATTTGACCTCATCTGATCCTGACTACCTCCCAAAGGCTCCACTTCCAAATATCATTAGCATATTAATTTAGCAATCGAGTTCCCAACAAATGAAATTTGGAGGGATGCATTCAAATCATAAAAAGTGCTTAACACATAATGGTTCAATGGATGCTTGGAAAAGGAAAAAAAAATAATTCCTCTTGGAAGACTGAAAGATGGGACCTCATGGAGAAAGCAGCCCCTGGAATACCCCTTGAAGRAGAAAAACTGGGGCAAAAAACATGCTACATATATTCTGTCTAATATGGTAGCCATTAGCTACATGTCTGTTTAAGTCTAAATTAAAGTTAAATGAAACTGAAAACTCAGTTTCTCAGTTGCACTAATCACACTTTAAGTGCTCTGTTCCATAGCCATAAGTACTGGTGGCTACTGCAGTGGACAATCCAAAGCTGTAGAACATTTACACAATGGTAGAAAGTTCTGTTAGCACTCTAGATGAAGAGATTGGCCTGAGCAAAGGTATGTAGGGAGAGAGGAAAGTTTGGAACTGAAGACTCTAGTGTGGAGAATAGGGTTTGTAGGGCAAGCTCCCTATCATGCTGATGCTAATGAGGACAACTTCCCCACCATGGACTTGCCTTGCTCAAGACCACTGGATTTTCCAGCCTCACAAATCAGTGAAGAATGAAAATGTGCAAACAAAAATGATTGGACGATACAGGGCTCTGGACTTGTTTAGAAATCTTTCATATCTTGAGACTCTCCCAGGCCACAATGCTGCTCAAAAAATAATAATTACGTTATCATTAAATAAGTCATATTGCTTTGGTTGTAAGTCTTATTTAAATTCAACACTATTTTGCTTCTAACTATGCTGTTTTCATAAAGTATGGTTCATGTAACATGGTTGCCTGTTCACAACTTAAAACAAATAGAGTATTTTTGCTAGTTTATACATTTAACTGGAGTTAACTCTATAGCAAACATATTTAGAATCATATACACTGTTTTGTCATGTGGGACCATGATGCAATGGTAGCACTGACTGATTGTAATATAGTGGTCTGATTCTATTTCAGAAAGTGAAATTAAAGGAGGTGAACTAGAGACAACAACAATAGTAGGAATAGAAAAGGGAACCAAGGAAATGTTGAAAATGTGGAATGATTTACCCTAGAGGTAGGAAGACAGAGAATCAAATGCAATTATTATCAGGGCTGGAACAATATTTTATTTTACATAATCTAAAATGTTATCAAATGTAAGATGCACTCATATTTTATGTACCATTAAGAGAGGAAAAATGTTAATTAAATTATGGCATGTTGATGATTATAAGATGAATCTTGATTTTGCCAATATTAAATTGTGAAAAATGTACATGTTAGAATAAAAGAAATGCATATTATACAAAAATTGGTGGCTGGACATACTCTTATTGAGACTAAGGAATCAGAATTTATTAAGCACTTGTCTTCAAGGTCTTGTGCTGGGGGATGAAGTGGTGGCAGATACACACATGGATGGAAAATATCCTTCAACAAATGAGAAGCTTACACCATAGTAAATGTGGTTCAAAAGAGGTACAGATCACAGAAGTTGAGGAGTCCTGTAAGTGGTGAATTTTGAGCAGTAGATAGATATATATAGTTTCAACTTCTAGAAAAGAGGAAGAGAGAATGACAACATTGAAGAAGGAAAGCTCAGGTATGAGACAGTGAATAGACACTTTCTAGGTTGTACACACAAAAAAATATAGGATTGGGAAAGTAAGAACAAGAAGTTTTGAGGAGGGAAGGAATAATATTATGGAAAATGGATTCATTTGTGAACAGAATATGAACGGTATATTCTCAAATCCTTTTGGTTGCTGCTGACAGATATCCAACTAAAAATGGTACAAGTAAAATTGGGATTTATGAGCCCATAGGGCTCATAGAAAGAAAGAACTCACTAAAAGTAGAGAAGCTCCGGGAATTTAAGTGTTTGGAATTAGGCTCAATAATGTCCCTCCAGGATCTTCTCTCCATCCATTTCTCTGCTTTATTCTTAGCCACTGCAGATAGGTTTTCCCTACCTGGTGGTTCTAGGAGGTGAAAAGGCAGCAGCCATGACAGTCTTGGCCATACAGTTTTAGAGTTCTATAATTCTGATTTTATGATTCTAAGTTCATTCTACTTGAAAATAAACTTAGGGAAAGAATTTGAGTGGTCTCTCTGGGCCATGTATGTTGAAGATGATGAGAGTTCTATGCTCTGTTTAAGTTTTAAAAGAACCCTTCAAAGCCACTTTTTTTTGCTTCAATCTTTTTGTGAATATATGCAGAAGAGATACCATGAATTTGAAAAATGCAGGAATTCTTAGTTTGAAAAAAAAACAATGAATAAGGAAAATAATGATAATGGTAGTGGAGAAAGTTCACGCTAAGTCCAGTTATGTGTGAGAGAAGTAGCCTGTATGCTGTTAGTCAAGACTGGGAAAACAGGAGGAAGAGCTGTTATTCATGGAAGAAGAGGAGTTTGAATTTGGTCAAACAGTGGACAAGTTACATAAAAAGTTTTAAATGCTGGTCTAAGGCTGGGAGTGAGATAGATTTGGGACTCCTAGATATTCTCAATGAAACTATGAAAGTGGATGAAATGCTTGAAGGAGAAAAGCAGAAGAGGAGGTCTGTGGACAAATGCTTGGGAGTGTGTATTTAGGTGGGAAGGGAACTGATTAGAGAAATAGATCAGTCAACAGAAGAATGTTATATTCCAGAAACTGGGAGGAAGTGGAGGAGGCTGAGTCTGGGGACAACTAATAACCATAAAAACTGAGAAGAATAGAAACTGTGAACAGATGTGGCAAGATGTAGTCAGGAGGCTAAATGGGAACAATCCCCAAGGGGACAGCTGTCCTTGACAAAGAAGAGAACCGTTCTCTCAACCACAAGTGATTTAGATGAATAGAAAGAAGAATGTCCAGAGAATTAATATTGTTTTTTATGGAAAGACTGTTATGAATTCTTATTTTTTGGAGGATTTAAAAATGACATGAAGGTATTCCCAACCTGAATGAGAGTTGTGCTCTGAATGAGAGTTGTGCTCCAGTACTATTGTACTGAAATTTGGGGGAGTGGTACAAGAATAGTACTTACAACAGGATCATTAGGTGTGTGGACCAGAGTTTGGGAGTATTCATGCTGTCTTCCGTCCCCACACCAATGGGGTGGGCACTGCCTCAGACATCACAAAAGATAGAACAGACATTAAAGTAACGACATTGTGCCAAGAGCCAAGCATTGTACGCATTCTGCTTTTAGCACCATGGTAAATGCTAGATGTTCAAAGACTAGGTTCCTATTTCAGTTCTCACATAAATTCCATTGTAATAGGAAGGATTTCCCCCTACTACATACCAGTAAGCTGTGTTGCCTTTGATAGCTGTATTCAAAACATCTAGGCAGGTGAACTTTGCATGAAACAATCCATTTATTATATTTTCAAAGAAAATCTAGGTAGGTGGACTTTGCATGAAACAATCCATTTATCATATTTTCAAGGAAAAGGTGAGTCATTCCTTACTTAGAAGGACAAAGAAGAAGTTGGAAAGAGTAGAAAGAGAATTCAAACTGATCTAGGTTGTGCTGAAACATGCTGGAACAGAAATATACTTACATTCTGGTGGAGACTTGGCATTTAGGATAAAATGTTAACCCCTTGTGGCTGGAAGTGTGCTTTGTGAGATATGCAGAGGTTCAGGATGGCCAGGGCAGAAGCATTATGAGTTTCCACTGCCAATGCTCTTTAAATGGTACCATTAATTTAATGAATGCAGAATTCATAGTCCTCATCTTTACTACCCTCGGAGATGTATCCCCTTTTTAACTTTGTTGCAAAACAATGGATGGCTATGGCCCAGAGCATTAATATTTGATTAGAAGCAGCTGATTTCCTCATTCCTGCTGACCTCTAGGAAACATGGCATGATTCAAAATGGCACCCACAAGGAAGACTGTGTACCCCACATAAGTCTGAGGATGAGTGTGTTAGTCAACATTTAATTGCTGTGATAAATATCTGAGAAAAACAAGTTAAAGGAAGAAAGATTTATTTTGGCTCATGGTTCAATGGTTTCAGTCTATGGTCAGCTGGCTTCACTGCTCTAGGCCTGAGGTGAGGTAGAACAACATGGAAGAATGGCATGGTGGAGACAAATGATCAGCTCATGACAGCCAGGCAGAGAGAGAGAAAGGAAGAAGCCAGGAATAAGACAGAGTCCTCAAGGGCAAGATCCCAGCTCCCTCTAGCTGGGTTCTATTTTCTATATTTTCCACCACTTCCTAGTAGTTCATTCATCTATCAATGAATTGATTTACTGATGAAATTAGAGCTCTCACGATCCAATCACTTCCCCCAAAGCCCTACCTCTGAACATTATTGTGCGGGTGAACAAGTTTTTATGATTTAATTATGAGACGTTCCCCAAAATCTCATATGTGAGATTTTATAATACATATATATAATTCATATACATATAATTCATATAATACAAGAATATTCAGAGGTGAAATGATTGGATTATGATAATGTCAACCTAATCAGTGCATTAATCCACTGATAGGGAATTAACTGGATGGTAACTATAGGCAGATAGGGTGTGGCTGCAGAAGATAGGTCACTGTGGGCAGGCCTTTGAGATTTATATTTTGTCCCTGGTAAGCAGAGTTTTCTCTCTCTGTTTCTCTCTCCCTCCCTCCTTCCTGATTGTTATGTCCTGAGCTGCTTTCCTCTGCCATGGTATTCTGCTTCACCTTGGGCCCAGAGTTATAGAGTCAGCTTTCTGTGGCATGAGACCTCTGAAACTGTGAGCCAAATAAATTTTTATTACTCTCGTTGTTTTCATTGGGTCTTTTGGTCAGAGAGATGAAAAAAGCTAAAACACAAGCCTTCAACATATGAGTTTTGGGGACATTCTAGAACCAGACCATAACAATGAGTGTGTTAGACTATTCCTACCGAGAGCTACAATCCATGGCAGGAAGGCCTGTGGTCCAACCTGACCAATCTCCAAGACCATCTGCAGAATGCCTATAACTGCATCATAAAAACATCTGCCAATAGCAGACAGGAAGAAAGTACCGAAAGCATTTTGTGCCTTTGCACATCAAAGCACTTCCTTTATGTTGAGATTATTCTTGATCAGTGGTTTCTAGCCCTGGCTATACATGAGTCATCTGGAAACATTTTTTTTTTTTAAATGCCTGAGCTTCAAACACAGAGTGTGAAATACATTTTTCTGAGAGAGCATTGTCTAGACATATTTTGCAAAATGTTCTCTGGGACCCAAGGAGTCATCGGGGGGGTTGCTTTAGGGTCTACTACAGGGATGAAAGAGATGGAAGAACACAAATGAGCAAAGCATGGGGTGGGGACAAAAAATAGGCAGAGACATAGAAAGACGAGGAGGGGAATCCCAGCCTTCCTCTTTTCTCAATAATTTGTTCATGCTGATTTTAGGCAAAGCGTAGGCCCCGACATAAAATACTTAGCTACAGTGGTCAGGAGCTTTTTCAGAAACCTAATCCTTTAATCCTTTTGAGAACCTAATGAAGTAGGAGATAAGAGGCAAAGATGGCAAGTTACAGGGCTAGACTACAACTGGGACTTCTAGCCCCAAGTCCTTCTCAATTTTCATGGTTTTCTACAAGAAAGCTATGGAGATCAAGAAAAAAAAATGGCCGAAAGGAAGTTTCAGTCCTCTATTATCAATGATCCTCAGATCAATTCAGAAGGCACCTGAGTTCCTGGTGACATGGGTGAAATAGGAGTCAGGGTGTGAGGGCTGGGTAGGCACCAACCATCCATGGTGCTTGAAGAAGCTTCCAGCCCAGGGTCCTGGTTCTATTTGCCTGTCCTCTTCAGGCCTCTAACCCTTCCCACTTTCTTCCTTTTCCTTCTACCTTTCCTTTCTCATCAAAGAGCACCACTCCCTCCACTAGGAAGCTGGCAGTCCCTGACACCATTCCTCCCACTCTCCTCTGAGTTCTGCTGTGCCATGGCATTTGAGGGGCTGTAGCATGGAGTATAGCTACAGACCTTTTTCATTCTCCTGAGATCAGGGAGGATGTATGGGGTGAAGCTAAAGCAGATGATGTAATTGCAGATGTAAAATAAGATCTAGAATGGAAGCTCCTGGAAGGGCAAGAATTTTCTTCTCTTTTGGTACTAGGGCTTGAACCCAGTGAAGATTTACCATTGAGCTACATCCCACACCCTTTCATTTTGAGATAGGGTCTTGTTAAATTGCTTAGGGCCTCACTAAGTTGCTGAAGCTGGTCTCAAACTT